GGGCGGGTCAGTGGTTCTCGGGCCCGCGCCCCCCCCCCAATGCCTGCGTCTGCTTGGGGACCCGCAAGCAGCTGCCGTTCAGAGAGACGTGGGCCCTCAGAACCAAACCGCCTGGCCGGTCCTTGCTAATTGCTGGGAGCTCTCCGGTGAGTCATTTAACCTCTCAGAGACTCAGGTGTCACATGTAACATGGGCACAAAAGCAAGTAATTATAGACTTGCAGCGAGGATTATGAGATAATAGAGGTGCAATCATTTCATAAATCATGAAAACTGTACAAAGTATTGATTTATTATTAACTTCTCTGCATCAAATTAAGACATTAAAATCGCCTCACTTCTAGTCCTGAAGTAGCAATTAGCAGCCTTGTCACTGAACCTCTCTGAGCTTCAGTGCCCCCTCCTGGGGAGCTCAGGAGCACGCAGGTCTTGCTCACACCCCGTACTGACAGTGTTCGCATCCTTCCTGCAGGGCCTGTACCGGCCAGCAGCTTCTTGCCACCTGCCCCTCCCCACGCAGAGGGAGCCGCTTCCCAGCCCATCTCTGATGTGCCTGCATCTCCAGGGCTGATAGATCTTCTTGGCAAAGCTGCCCCAAAGATTCCTGCTAATGCTTGTCTGTTCCTGCCTCATGTGAAGCATGGCGCCCACAGGACTCCGGAAAGAACCTTAAACCCAAAGTTCTGCAGCTGCTCTGGAGGGCACCCTGTGTGGCTCCTCCCTGGTCCCTCTCGGCTCTGGGAACTGCTCACGCCTCAGCGATGCCCTCGGGAGCCTCAGCCCCAGCGGGGTGAGACCATTTCAGAGCGGGCCCAACATTACCACCCACCAGGACTCCCTCATCACCTCCACCACCTCCCAGGTCTGACTGCACCAGCAGACTCTAGAATGTCTGTGCCCCAGATCCAAGTGGAAGAAGTAGTGGTGGGGGAAGAGGGGCTGGCAGGAGCAGCCCCACCTCCTGACGACCACCTCCGGAGCCTGAAGGCCCTGACTGAGAAACTGAGGCTGGAGACCCGCAGGCCGTCCTACCTGGAATGGCAGGCTAGGCTGGAGGAGCAGGCATGGCCCTTCCCGAGGCCGGCTGCTGAGCAGGGAGAGTGTGGGGAGGAAGAGCCCTCCCTGCGGAGAGAGCCCAGCCAGCATCCGCCACCTACTGAAAGTGCCAGCCAGGATGCTGTGACCCGGCCCACTGGCAAGCTGGAAGGCTTTGAAAATATTGATGAAGCGATAGCCTGGCTCAGGAAGGAACTGGTAAGTGGCTGCCCCTCCAAGGATCCTCAGAAAAGATGCCATTCTCTGTGTGTGTGCACTCTGCATCTCTGTGTCTATGTCTCTGTTTCTGCCCCCATCTCTACCTCTCCCAATTGCACATCTGTCATCTTCCTACTAAATCAAAGGTAGACTTTATTGCTATGTGGTTACATGACATCCATGCATCAGTAAGCCCCTAATCGCAGGTACTTATGAAGCAAATGTTGCCCATGAGAACCTGAGCCCATGAAGGTGTCCCCAACCTTCTCCAGTGCCACTCCCAACATCAGAGTTTCATATTCTGGTCCCTGGACTGCTCAGGGGGCTCCTAGAGTATGACTGCTCCTCCTCTCTGAAGCCCTCTCATCTTGCCACCCACCCAAGCTGCTGCCTGGCTCCTGTGACCATTCATTTAGCAAGTGGAGTGGCCATTCTCCCCACAGTGCTGTGCTGGACAGTGGGGTGAGCTCAGGGCAGAGTTGTCGGGGCACAGAGCTGTGGGGAACTGCTGTTAGTAGCTCAGGCTCAGACCAGCAGTACTCCTACTGAACCATGTACAGAGCTGCACAGAGGGCGGGTTGACTGATCAGGCCTGTGATGAAGGCTTTCGGCTGGGCCTCAGAGGCGAAGTAGGAATCTGCCCATAAGTCAGGGTTGGGAGACCATCCAGGTGAAATGAGTGTAAGTAGCAGGCATAGGTTTCAGAGCTGGGGCCAGAAGTTTGATCTTTTTTCTGCCCACGGGCACAGCTGGCTCCCATCAGTGGCATCGCTCAACACGTGAGAATGGGGGTGGGCTTCCAGCGCTGTGTGCCCCTAGCCCAGGGGAGATTCTCTGATCACAGGTCTGATGGCTTCTCAGCAGAGCCAGGCTTGATACTTACACTTCCCATGCCCTCAACTCCTGTCCTCCACCCCATCACCTGTGGCCCAGGTCACACCCGCCTAGTCAGGCCACTCTAACCACAGGTGAGCCAGTAATTAAGGGCCAACTGCCTTCCAGAGCCACTAGTAACTTCTGAGTCAACCATGTAGGCAGAGGCTTGTTTGGTTTGTTCTGTATAATCCTAAAAAAATACATCCCCATTGGGACCTGGAATTCCCCATGAGTTGAAATAAATAATTGGGCTGGGGCAGGGGGTGTTCAGGGACCCAGGCATCCGATTAATTGGAAACCTTTTTTTGGTTTTTAATCTTTGATGCTGAGACTGCTTCTTAAAACGCACCATTTCACTATGTCTGTCTTTAGTAATTGGGCTGTAAGTTGGTTTGCATGAAAGACAGGGTACCTGTGGATTCTTGATATGTCACCAGATGCTCCATCACCACTGGGTGCTCAAGGGGGTGTGAGAGGGGAGGAGAGATGGACTTGAGGTGGCCAGGACAGCCCCTGGGAGCTGCCCTTTAAATTCCTGAGGCTGAATTGCTTTCATTTGTTTTCATAAAGAGGAACAAAAAATATTTCCATTAATCAAGGATTCAATTTGTTGGTTTAGAGTTCATTTGAGGTTTTATTGCTTTGGAGAGCAGAGGCTTTTACTTTCTAAGTGAGCATTCCCCGTCAGCCTTCCTTTGGGGTGGAGATCAGAGAAGGAATTCCCTGTGCGAACCAGGAGGGAGTTCTCTAGAGCTGCTCCTCATTCCCTACAGCTGTCATCCGCATCTCAACCCAGGGCGTATTAGAATCACCGTGGAAACCTCGAAACCTCCCAGATCCTAGACCACACCCCAGACCAATCAAATGAATACCTGGGGGTGAGTACTCAGGCATCAGTGGTTTTTAAAGCTCCCAGGTACTTCAGAAGTACAGCCTAGGTGGTGAACCATTACCGCAGACCTACAGGCCATGATTGTTTTTCTTGACAAGCCATTGCAAGCCAAGCAGGACAAAGCATGCTGGTGCAGAGGAGGACGGTGAGGCAGGTCAAGGACAACCATGGGTAACAGATCGAGTAATACTCTATAGGTGGAGGGAGGAGCATTGTCAGGACCAACTTGGCTGCCAAAAGCTGTATTCAATAAGTGCAGGCAATATCAGCATTATTACTAATGCTTTATGTTTGCATGATATTTTCCACCCTCCCCCTACTTCTCTGTGCTGCCAGGGTGAGTAATAATAATAAGATGGAGATGTGTCACTAATGGAGTGTTCACCGAGAGCTAGGTACCTCACATGTATTATTTACCGCTTCTGATTGTCACATCACCTTCCCGTTACCCCATTTTACTGAAGAGGAAACTGAGGCCCAGAGAGGAATGTAGCAATAAGTGAGAGAGTAGAAATTCGAAGAGTGCCCATCTGGTTGGATCGCCTATGCTTTTCTTAGCCGCCATACTACATAGGATATTTCAAGGGCATTGGACCTTGCTGTGTGATTCCTAAAAATGTAAATTCACAAAGATGTCAGCAGTCAACAGAATGCGTGGGTGTGAAGACAAAGGGAGAAACAAGATGAGGGAGTTCCAGCCCTCACTTCATTATCTCTGATTCTTACAATAGGCTTATGTGATTGTGGTATTGTCTCCATTTTACAGATGAGTAAACCAAGGCTCATAGAAATCAGACGACCTGCCTAGAATTGTATGACTAGTAAGCGGCAGAGCCAGAGTTTGAACTCAGCCTTCCCCATTTGGAGTAGAGAGCTATAGGGAGAGAGGCAGGAGATGAGGCTGGAGAGGTGGCCTTCCTGCAGAGGGGGCTGCAACTCAAACTCTGATGTGCACACAGGTCACCAGGGTCTCTTGTTAAGGTAAAGACTCTGACCCTAAAGATCTGGGCNACAGGTCACCAGGGCCTCTTGTTAAGGTAAAGATTCTGACCCTAAAGATCTGGGATAGGGTCCATGATTCTGAATTCCCACCAAGTGATGCTACACTGCTGGTCCAGGGACCACACTTTGAGAATCAGGAGTGATAGGCAGGCAGAGGACTAACTGGGGACCTCAGAGGGAAGCCCCAAGGATCCCCAAGCCTGCACCCTGAGCTTGTCCCTGCCATAACCGCCGTTTTGGCTTGAGGCTCAGCCAGTGAATGGGCTTCCGGGAACTGCTCACAGCATCCACACTGAAGGTCCAAGAATCGAATTCATTCAGAAGAGGGTATGTCTGAGGTCAAAAGCAGCCCAAACACAGACTGGCAGGCAGTCAACTCAAATGTGTGCAATTCTGCCCTTTTAGGAGATTAAACAGTAATAAGGCAACTTGTAAAATCCTTTGATTGAATTAAAAACAAAAGTTCAACATTTGAATAATAAACCCATTCTACTGTTTTTAAGTCTCAGTCAAAACATTAAACTTCATGTCATTATTTTTCTAATTCATCATCTGTTAACTTATTCAAGGTGTCATTTAAAATTAACCAATTTTTTTAACCCCATGAAAGTGGTTTCAAATAACTTTTGTTGTATTTTAAGCCCAGAACCAAGTTTTCTCTCCACCTGGGCGGGCTCTCTCCAACAATTTGTCAAGCTCAGGCACATATTTGTCTTTTCTTGTGACGTGGCCGAGAGAACATGAGAAATCTGTAATTCAGTCACTTGTGTGGCTGTTTTCCCTACACAAAATCAAACACTCAATATGACTGGAGTTTGGGCTCAGCTTTGGGCTTGTGCCCAGTGGTTCCCTGACCATTGTAAGGAGGTCCCACGAGCAGTTACTGCAATCAACAGGGTGTTTGCTATCAATGTCAAGCCTTTTAGAAGCAAGTGATGTTGGGTCTGGAAAGGTTGGCTTGTCCACTCCCTGCCTCCTACAAATTCAGCTCAAAGACACACAGAGACCACCTGGATCTTGACTTATTTCCAAGACATTAAAGGATCCAAATAGCTCCCGCAGGGGTCCACTCTCACTCTCACCTTCCACAGCAGGAAATGACTGTCACTCTTGACTGCCCCAGGGACTTGCAAGTAAAGTAGGGTTTTTTCAATTTCCTTAGTTGGGAGATACAAGAAGGTGTTGCTCAGCAAGGTGTAGCTGTTGGCATTGACCCTCCAGCTAGGAAGGCCTGACCTTCCGCTCCCAGCTTCAGACAGGGCTGCCGCCTCTGCCTGGGGTGGCTTTGGGCCACCTGGCTCCTCCAGGGTGACATCCGGCTTTGCTCTTGGTGAGAGACCGACTTGGAACCTGGTTACATGGCTGTTGTGCAACTCTGGTATTTCCAGACTGCTCACCTCGCCAGAAAGTTGCAGCCTCCATTCCCACCTTCAGGGCAGCCTGGCCAGGCGAAGCGGCCTGGGCTGGGCAGGGGTAAGTGGCCTGTGTCAGGAGGGGATGAGCTAGAAAGAGCAGGACCCTGCAGCTGTGGGACTGAGCCCTCTGGCTGAATTCAGAACATATCACAAACATGTCTGACTGCATTTGATCCCACAGCTAGCAGCCCAAGGGAGAAAGGAAAGTTCCTTCCATCTTCTCTTTAATCCTGCTGCAATGTTCCCTTTGCCAACCTGAAAGGCAAAGAAAAGAGAGAAATCTGCTCGGCCCATGTGATGCCAAAACTGAAAACAAAACATTCCAGCTTCCTGAAGGGTTGTCTTTGTAGCGAGAATCCTTGGGCGTCAGCAGATACTTTTCTTTTAGCTTCTTACAAGTGTTAGATCCCTGCAGACAGGGCCCCTCATAGGTGTTTATGGTTGTTAGAGAAAGGGAGAGGAAACCTGGCAAATTTTCATCATTCCAGGGCCTGCTGTGGCAGGAGGCTGCAGCCCTGACTCAACTGGCCCCTCTGTGGTGGCAGCTTGAGTTCCTCCTCTCCCGCTTAACCCTCTCCTGCTTGTGCTTGGCAAGCAGGTGACTGGGGTGTCCAAGCCAGCCCTCTGAGGCCAGTCTTCTCCATTTCTGCTGAATGAGATGGCCAATGACAGTTCAAACTCACTGAGCACCTTTCGATGGGGATGGAGGTGAGAAATGTGAAGATGGGGGACATGGTAATACCCTCCACCTAGGGAGCATTTTATGGTCTCAAAGGTACTCATACAGTTTTCTGTGAGTGGCTTGGAGGTATTTG